TATAATATTATTATATATTAAATATATATAAATGCATGCCTATTTAATGCATAGGGTAGCATTTTATATATATATAGATAGATAATATAATTTTAAATATTTTTCCACCAATTTTTTTACAGATCTGATTGAAAAATACTAATATTATATATATATATATATATATGTTCAAGTTGACTTATAGAATAAAAGTGTAAGAATACCTTTGAAAAAACTTAAACACCGTTAATGAATCAACACGTATGAGTAATTCATTAAGGGTATTTAAATAATTTTGAAGATATTTTTACACATTTTTCTTATAGTTTAACCATAAAAACACTTTTTTGATAAGTATATTAAATAAAACTTAACCATAAATGGAAGTAAGAAATTAAACTTTTAAAATGAAATAATGTTTAACTATAAACTTAATAGTGAAATTAAAAATATCATTTTAAATATACAATTTACAAAAACTAAATCATATTTATATAAATTAAAAAAGACTAACATACCTTAGATAAGCTCCAATAAAATTAGAGTTTTCAATGGTATATGTTGGATACCTATAATCTTGTAACAAAATAAAAATAGTTAAAACATATACATAAATGAAAGTAAAAATTAGCAATCTAACAAATAAAATAACATGACAAATACCATATAAAAATGTTGGTGAGTAGAAAAGATTTTGGAAATTAAAAACAAAAATGATATACATAGAAGTGGTAAGTTATCAACTAGAATTGTATCAAATGGAAAACAAATTCTAATCGTAACTATTTTCAACTTTTATTTTTACAAATGGCTAGTTTCAATTCATTTCAATTCTTGTGGATGATTTTGAAAAGTCAATCCAAGAAGTGCAATGAGAATTGAGGGTGGGTGACTTTAAAAAGGAATGAAATACATGAACTTTCAACTTTTTTTCTCTTATTTAAAGAAAATATTTAGCACTATTTTGAAACCCGACACAGCTTGACCTAGTTGGTTCAATCAATTGAATCAAATTTGATTTTAAAAATAGGTTGGATGAGGCTAATAACCCGTTTGAGGTCAAATTTGGTCAAAACCCGTCTAGACCTAATCCAACTCGCTCAGACCCGATCAAACCTGCTCAAACCAGATCAGCTCAATTGACCTAAATGGTTCAACTTTTTTTTAACATTTTCACTTTTTTTCATTTTTCTTTAATTTTTATATTTATATTTATTTAATTAATAGATAATATCATAATTAAATTGTAAAATCTATTTAAAATAAAACCACAATTAATGAATGAAAATTTTTAAATTAA